TTTAAATTAAAAAAATAATAATAAAGTTTCTATAGTAAATTATTTCCTGCCACTATTTTTTAAGCTCAAACTAAGCTGCGCTTATTTGCAATTTTCAAAAATCACTAAATGCAATTGCTATCTTTATAACTAACAAATGCTATATGTACACAGAGTGTTCTTTATTTCACAAGTTGATTGTTATTCTGCAAAACGCTACCTGAACTGTCAGTTTTTGCGCTAAAAGGGAGAATCCAGTCACAAAATTCGGTGTTTTTGTTATTTTTTTTTTTTCAGTTGAACAATATTTTTTCCCGTGTAAATATATAACATGGTATTTTTTTGGCATTTAGCATTAAGCAAGTGAATTCAAAGTTTTGAAAATATAATATTCTAATACAAAATTTTCCGCTCTACAAAAAAGGTTTGAATATTTTTTTTTTCATAAAATCGCTCCTTTAAAAGTTATACGCAGTTAAAGTTATACATCAGTTACCCGAGCATTCATACAAGTGCCTTACATTGTGTTGCTCATACGACATGGTGCACCATATGAGTGCACTATATTTGATATAGATTTAAGTGCGTTTAACTTTTAAAGGAGCGATTTTATGAAAAAAAAACCCTTTACCTTTTGAAGGTATTATGGTCACATGTGAAATGAAAAATATTAAAAAAAAAAAAATCCATACTATATACATACATGAAAAAAATAAGATTTATTCAGGCTTTACATTCTAAATAAAGAGTTATTTTACGTTGGAGTTTTTTTGAGTGCAAAAACTTAAACTTCATCATCTATTTGCAAACAAAAATCAAGTTGGAAAATAAGGAACACCCTAATAATAACCAAAAATCAATACCAAAATGATACCTAACTCTACCACTTACTAATAGCCACAATCTGTTGTCCTGAACCCAACTTAGCACAGTTGTGTAGACTAATACTCTAACAGACGCTAAGTTCTTCACACTTTGTTGATACCGGTTCTTCTTCTTCTTTTTCTCTTGTTTCTTATATTAAAAACAAAACAAAAAACCTAAACAAACAATGCATGGACGTTAAATTGCAAATTATTTTATATAAAAAAATTAAATAATAATAATAACTGCAACACATCTGCTCTAAAACAACAACCACATCACGCTCCACGGGGTCGGTTCTTAGATTTAGCAATAACAACACCGTAACTCATGCCTCAAGTACGCCTTCGACGCATAGAAGCGCAACGGTTTCATTTTACAAAAACAAAAGGTTTTCACTTAAGCATAAACATAGAAATGATTATGAGAATTTAGATAACTGTAGTGCTAGTATGAACAACAATAGCAACAATGGTAATGGTAATGATAACGACATGACAGCCAATACAAATGCCAATGCCAATAATGATGAGTGCGATAATAATGATCATGAAAATGCCACTTGTAGGTAAGGTGCCGTTACATTTCTAACACACACATACATATACATACATACATAAATGCCAAGAAAAAAATGCACTGAGTTTGGTACAAAAAAAAAAAAAAAGAAATCTTGTCCAAAATTAGTAAGCGTTCGCGGCGCTAGGCTTGCGCACTCAGCAAAACAGTTGCAGCACAATTGAGTTTTGAGTTCTTGAAATTTGTACCATTAAATTGTTAAAAAATAATTTAATTAAAAACATTTTGTTTTGAAATTTTACATTTTTCATACACGCTCTCTCTTCATTACTAATAACTATTTGAATTAACTCATCACTCACCCGCTTGTAGGTATCAACAAAATCCGGAAGCTTGCGTTGCTGTACATTGTGTTGCCGGTTTGGGACGTGCACCGGTTTTGGTCGCATTGGCGCTGATTGAATTGGGACTCAAATATGAGGCAGCTGTGGAGATGATAAGAGAGTAAGTATTATTGTAATAACTATAAAAATATATCACTCTACAAAAATTTAAATATTTATTTCGTAAAAAAAATATGATTAGAATGTCCAGCAGATACTTAAGGTTGCTAAGCGTTATCCAAAAAAGTAACAAAACCCAAAAGTATCTAGAATAGATGTTAAAGAAGTCCTGCCAAACAAAATGCCAAATGCTTCCACCAGAACAATATTTAGCCTCCTGTTTTCCTTTCCGGAAATTAGCTTATTAAGTTATTTAGAAAAAATTAAGACTCACCTCACTATTTTTTAGTTCAAAATCAACCCAGACTGCATAAAATAAATTATGTTATGTTGGTTGCTGCCTACGATGCTACACTTAGATCTATTAATCTTTTGCAGATTCTGTTTAAATTTAGTAGTCTGGTAACTTATACCTATTTACCTATTTTCATGACTTCTTTGGAGGGTGGTTTTTTTTATAGGAAAATTAAAATGAATTATCTCGAATATTTAGAGTGTTTTTTATTTACATATTCAAAATAAAAAGATGTATTTGGAAAAATTTAATACGTTATTACTATTATAATAATTATTATTGTCACTCGAATTTGAAACCCCAAAAAAAAAAAAACATGCTCGTAGGTGGCCCGGGTGATTTTGGCGCTTGATGTTATCTGAAATCAAATATTCTTCATTAATCTTAATCTTAATAAATTCTTAATCGATAGACATGTCACTCTGGTATGAACTACTGAAGTTAAATTTCAAGGGTAACTAACAAAAGTCCTTTTATTTTAGCAAAGAAAGGGTTGTAAAATAAAAAATTAGGGGTGAGAAAAAAAGCCTCTTAAAATTTGCAAGAAAAGTTAGGACCGGGTCGAGCAGAAAAACAATGTTTTGAGAAAAACGCGTCCAAAGTTAAACAACTCCGAAAGAGAGAGGACTCCGAAGCGCTCTAGGAAACTCGTCATTACTCCCGAAATATTTGAATTTCTGTCTGAAATTTTCACGATATATTCTCATGACATTATTGTTAAGTTGAAAACCAGAAAAAAAAACGATTTTTTGAACCCAAGTTACCAGATCTTAATGCGAGCTGAAGTTTTCATTGTTCGTCGGATATCTAATCCCTGTTATGTTTTTTAATTATTTTCTATATTATATATTTTGAAAGTTTACTTATTCAACAATATGTCTACAAGAGCATTTAAAAAAAAAAATTTTCACTGGTAGACCTTTTTCGGACGTCCTCCCAGAGGTCGGATCCTTCATAAAGGAAATCCAAAATTTTTCTCAAGTAATCGCCGATTATTATTTTCATTATCAATTTTCATAGAAGCATAACAACAGACTGGCGTTATAAGCTGTCCGAGTGGAATACCTTTTTTAGGATCGATCATTTAACCTAACCTAACCGAAAATTCAAGTTAATGAAATTCACAAAATATGCGTATTTTCTGGCTTGCAAGCGAATTCAACCATTTCATGGAGATAATTAAAAGTCAAAGCGCCGTATAAAAAATGCCTTCTTAAAGGGGTATTATAGAATTATGTTAATAATTTTACAGGGATTTTATATCTTAGACATGTTAGGGTCGGATGCGAATAAAGGAGAGCGTAACTTAATTCAGAGTTGAGGATCATATTCAATAAGGTTCTTTCTGCGCGACGTTTTATTTTTGTATCATCAATAACAGTGCTTCCACTGGATATAAGAAACGATCAAATTTGACTTAGACTTTAAACCGCAGGGACAAGCCAAATCCATGCACAATTTGTTTGATGCTTCGCTACAACATTTTTTATGTTCGCGTGATGTTTGATTTGTCAGTTAGCTGTGTCTTTAGCAGTTGCTTGTTTACGGCAGGAAAAGTGTTTTTTTTTTTTTTTTTTTTTTTTTTGTAATTTTTTTTTTTTTTTTTTTTTTTTTGTTTTTTTTTTTTTACGACTTTTGCTATAGAAAAAATATTGAACGAGTTTGCCTAAAATGTTGTGTGTCTAACGGAACCACGGCTACGGAATTTTTTGGAAATCGTTGCAGATGTTTTCTAAGAAATCTACTTTCTCATGAACACAAGTATTTAAGCTCCACATAGCATTCAGTGAAGGTCCTGAGGTCATTGAAAACTTGCACCTCCTACGTGTCAGCCATCTACCTCTGTTAATGACGGCAACACGACAAAAGTTAAAGAAACAATAAATGAAAATCTTCGTGCTGGCATTAGAGAGAAAGCAGAGGTTCTCAACATTTATTATGTATCGACTCAACTTATTTTGGTTACTGGTTTGGGTGTGAAGCGTGTCACTGCTAGACACGTAACAAAATACCTTAAATTTTTACAAGAAATTATTACGAGTAAAGGCGCAAAAGATATGCTTGGCAATAAAGCTGAGAACACTAAATGCATTAGTTGCATTATTACTAGGAACGAGACGTGCCTTTACGTATATGAGGTCGAAAATGTGAAACGATTTTCATTAAAAAATACAGGCGTTAAAAATGATCTCAAAGCAAAAAACTACGTCAAAGTCGGTCCAAAATCAACGCGATGATCATTACCGTGGCTCAGTTCACATTGAATTCATCTTACGGTCAATAAGAACACTAGTAAAGCACTTTGCGCTGTTTACGTCAAGCATTTGGCGGTAAAGTAGGGAATTTGTGGACAGTAAATGCAAGTACTTTCCCCCACAATCATATTCCTGTATGTAGTGACTGCCCTTTTGAGCAAGCATAGTAGAAATTTCGATGGGTTTAGGGTTGGCATGCTTGGATTGACTCAATAAGCGTATTTTTTAAGGCATTAACGATTTTTATTAGAAAACGAAAATATTGTTTTTTTTTTAGCTCTGAGTCCGGGTCAATTTTGATCAGATCTTATAACTGTCTTTATACTCATTTCACTAAAAATTTATAATTTTTATTGCTTATTTAAATATGGAGTCATGAAAGCTAAGGCAATTAGGCATAGATTCCACTTAACTAGCTATCAAAATATCTGATTATCTATAAAAATGTTGAATATTCAACTAAAACTTCAATTTTGTCTGATTTCTACTTGCAGTAAACGACGAGGCGCCATCAATGCCAAACAATTGTCATTCTTGGAACGGTATAAGCCCAAGGCAAGGCTAAAGCACAAAAATGGCCACAAGAATTCATGTTGCGTGCAATAGATTTTCCAAAACCATATAAATTCCCACCAGATGAAAAGTGTTCATTTTTAAAGAAGAAAAACAAAAACAAAACAAATAAAACAAACAGAAGTTTAAAAAGAAAACCAATAAATGTGAAATATGCTACATTAATTGAAACAGCAAACAGCAAACAGCAGCAGCAACCACAACAACAATAGTAACAACGCAATACAACTACAACAACAACAACAAAACAGCAATAGATAATGAGGAAATGCCACCAAGTGCATGAACACTGAAAGGCAAACGCAATGAGCGTAAAAACAACAACAACAACAACAACAGCAACAATAACAACGAGGCGAACAACAAGCAGTGCATTGGAACACACTCGTCAGCTTTTGCAGGCAGCGCAAACACAATCAATCAATTATACACAAATATAAATATGTGAAACTGACAGCAGCCCATTAAACACCAGCAAGCAACAGCAGCAACAACAAAAAACACCAACAACGGTCAGCTTGATACATTGCAACATAAAAACGGGCGCTTTAAAGAACGCCGCTTCTAAACTTTCTGCTGACACTAGCAACTGTAAAATATGTAAACCTGCCGTTTGGCGCTTTTCTCTACTTTCTCACAACATTTACGGCGCGTGGCAGTGTGTGTGGCGCTTTGTATATGCGCGCGTGTTAGCAAAATTATTCCAAACACACACACACACACACGCACACCGCGTCATTTGCGGCCACGCGCGTCGTAAACCACAACAACAATAGCAATAGCAACTCAACACTTGAACTCTGACAATGAACGCCAACACTTTTTTGACTTTAAAGTTCACTTTTTATTTGATGATGATTATATAATGATGTTCTAACAAGAATGAAGCAGAAAGATATTTGAATTTTTTTTTTAGTTTTTTTTTTTTTTTGTTTTTGTATTAAAGTTAAGGCATATAAAAGTAAAGTTTAAAGAAATATTATAAATTCAAAAAATATTAAAATTAAAAACAAAACAAAAAAAAACAAGATGAAAAATGTTTTTTGTAAGTGCAACAACAACAACACTGAGCTAGTAAACTGAAAATGTAAAGACGCAAAAGGAAAACAATTTAATTATTAGTTTTAATGTTCAATAAAGCAGAAGAAGAAGAAGCAGCAGCAGCAGCAGCAAAAATTAAATAATATCTATATACTTACTAACAAAATGCAATGCGCAGTTATGTTTTTGTTTTCGTTACTTACGGATTTTTCGTTTCCTTCGTTTTTGCTTATTCTCCATATTTTTTAATAATTTTTTTAACAAAACTTTCCTTCCTTCATTTTTTGTTTTTGTTTTTGTAATCAATTAGTATATACGTACTCATGTATTTGTACTTATATAAAACAATTGTAAGCATTATGCATATGTGCAACTATAAAAACAAAACATATTATAATAATATTACTAAATAAAATTAAAACAAAAAAAAGCAAGCAAATTTGCAATGAAATGTAAGGAAAATCGATTATGTATGATATGCGCAACAATAAACAAGTAGAAATCGCTAAAATTGTTAAGTAAACATAAAGAAAGAAACAAAACAAAAAAAAAACAACAATCAAAGCAAGCATTGTTCAAAAAAAAAAAAATATATAAAAATTATAAAAAATCAATTGTGCTGGTTTATTTTTATTTTAACACTGGTTTGGTTTGTTAGTTATAATTTGCTTAGAGACGCGCAGTTTTAGACGACCACTGAGGTAGTTCAGCTTACAACATGCCAATTCGAGCAATAATGCAACTCTGCTGCCAACATCATGCTCTTTGTCGCACACTGAAGTTTAAACGGCACACTTAGCACCTGAAATTTAAAAGAACTAATGAAATTGTTTTTCATATTTCGTTAGATTATGCCTTTAAAAATAACATACTACAATTTTAAATCGCTATCACACTTAGTTTTTGAGTTACAGCCAGCTAAAGTGTAAGCGCTCAGTTCAATGAACTCAGTCAGTTTGTATTTAAACGAGTTTTTCTTGAAAAGGCACGAATATGCTGCAATGATTAGGTAGAGGCACATGATTCGCGCATGTTTCGCATCGTCACCTAAAACGCAAAAGAACGTAACAACACTCTTCATAAGTTTAAAGGCGAAGGAGAAACGAAACCACTCATATTGGAACAAAATTTGAATTTTAGTTATAAAATGGTTATATCTGAGAGTGGAAGCTGAAAATTTTATGCTACATTCAAAATTTTAGTTCTGGTTATCGGAATTCGTACTATAAAGCAAGTCCAAAGACACCTGTTTACGGCACTCTTTTTGAATAAAATTCTTCTTTATCGAGACGAGTCGAGCCAGAACGCGTTTCATGGGCTCGCGAGGGATGTCGGGCTCTCTTCCCATCTCTTCAACACATGCCTGACGATTTTCAGGTACCATTTCCTTCACTTTTTACTATTTTCAACAGTTGAAGAGTTCGATGGTCGTTCAGAACGAGGCATGTTTTTAACGATCTCTCGGCCGTTTTTGAAGACTTTGTACCAGTAGTAGGTTTGTGGTTTTGGTAAAACTGAATCGCCGTAAGCCCCTTTCAACATTCGCAATAATTTCGCACATGAAATTTGGTTAGAAATAAAAATTTAAAAGAAATTCTTTGCCTGATATATTTATCCATTGTAAAAATCGCAATGCACTACTGAGATGTATCGACTAAGCAGCTGCTGTAAACAAACTAGTTGACACATTTGGCATAGTAATTAAGAACCGTCTATCAACTTAGCAAAATAGATTTTTTTTTAATATCATAACCGGGGAATTTAATAACAACCTGTGTTAAATCACAACTTCTTCGGTGCCATTCAATGTCGCAATTTCTTGAAATAAACGAATCTACAAGCTTTTCTCGCAATCATTCGGTTGTTGCACGTGCTGTGCGGTACATGGACTCGTATTGTTGGAACCAGATGTTGTCAAGATCAACTTCTTTTAATTGCGGCCATAAAAAGTTGAATATCATCCAGCTATACTGATCTCCATTGACAGTAAGGTATCACCACCTTCATTTCGAAAGAAGTAGGCCCAAAACCACACTAAACTGTCAACTAAGATGAATCTAATGGTTCTTCATGAATAGTTTGTGGATTTTCTTCGCGCAAAAATCGACAGTTTTGTTGATTTACCGCACCACTCAGTTGAAAGTGAGCCTCAGTGGAGAAGATAATTTTCTTAAAAAAAATCATTAACATTTTCAAACTGTTCCCAGGCAAAAAGGGCGATTTACGTCGTTAACGGTAGTCCAATGGCTTCAGTTCTTGAGTAAAAACACGTTTATATGTTTGCAAGCCCAAATCCTTGCTCAAAATCTGCTAGGTTGTGGTTTGAGGCAATCTCCATTATTGAGCACGTCTTCGAAACGTCTTGCGCCCTTCAGCAAATATACGCTCGAACTATCTCACTTATTTGGAAACCTTATATGGAAGACCATAATATATAATATATAGAGTGGTCCAATTCAAATTTACGAAAAGCCAAAAATAAAATTTATTTCCAAATGAATATTCTTTCGTTAATTTTTTTCTCAAAGTTTCATGAGAACTGGCGCTTCGTGAAGCTCACAACGATACTAATATTGGGTAGTCGAAAAAGTCTTTTCGTATTTTGTCAATAGATGACGTTGCAGTCGTATATCTCCAGTGCTGCCAATCGTAATGTGTCATATCATATAGTGTCGGAAAGGTGCTTCATTTAACAAAAATTCGGGGAAGTTGAAAAGAAGTTACAGCTGTTCAAAAATAAGTGAAAATAATGAAGAAATTCGCAATATTTTGAAATTTTTGTATAAAAAAAGAGGAAAATTCCACGAAAGCCGCCAATGAAATTTGCGAAATTTACGGAGAGGATGCTGTGTAGCACAACAATGGTTCGCTCGCTTCCGTTCTGGAAATTTCGATTTACACTGATGAAAGTTTTACACGGATGGAATAATGTCTCTAGCGGAAAAATGCCAAAAAGTGGTCGACAAAAATGGTACATATTTGTTTATTTATTTATTAGTATATATTATTTAAAAAAAAGTAATATTAATAAACGCAGCGCCATATCACTATTGCAGAGTTGGATTGCAGAGTTTTTTCAACAGATTTATCGATTCTATAGAGTTTCTTTTTACATACCATCTATAATATCTCTAAAATGTAAGAGATTCGTAAGCAAAATTTTTATAATTTTTGATTTTAGAAATCTAAGACAAGGTAAAAATTACCAAAAATATTTTGATTATTAAAAAAATACTAAAAAGATTGCGACATTAAATAAAATTTTAATATTTTAATAATTGGCTAAAATACATGTTTTATAAATAAAAAATTGGCTCAGTAAGTGTGTGTCTGTTTTAAAAAGTTAAGCATTATATACTTCCATAAAATAATTTTAAAATGATAAAAAACAATACCCTTGTGTGCCGTGTAGATAGGGTTAGTTTTTCAGCTTTTAACACTACATACACTATGTGCAAAAAATGTGACGCTAATTAATATATGTAAATAAAAAAATATTTTGTTATCCTTGGCATACTTCTAAAGGCTGAATTTTCACCATAGTTAATGATTTAATGTAAATGTGCTTTTTCATAAAATTTTTTTTATAATTTTTTTTCATAATTGTTTTTATAAAGTATAAGTTGTTTTAAAAAAATTTTTTTTTAGTATAAATTAGCTTTTTCCTTTAATTTTTTTTCATACATTTTTTTGTAAATTATAAATTATATTAAAAAATTTTTTTTGCAAAAAAATAAAAATTAGCTTTTTCCTTACACTGGGCGTGGCTTTGTTAATCGATTTGACCAACAATCATCGCATTTTGAAAACATTAGCAAAATGATGACTATACCAGGGTTAACAATGAAAAATTATTTACTTTCGTAAAATTAATAAAAAAACGTTTTAAAATTAAAAATAGTTTTAAAATGTTTATCATAAAACATT